AGGAGCATGTTCTAACCCAATGCAAGGAAGCTAAGAACACTGTAAAAAGTTTAGAGGAATTTCTAACTAGAATAACCAGTATAGCAAAGCACATAAATGACCTGGTGGAGCTGAAAAACACAGCACGAGAACTTCATGAAGCATACACAACTATAAATAGCCAAATCGATAAAGCGCAAGAAAGGATATCAGAGACTGAAGATCAACTTAATGAAATAAAGGAGAAGACAAGATTAGAGAAAGAAAGAATGAAAAGGAACTTATAAAGCCTCCAAGAAATATGAGATTATGTGAAAACACCAAATCTACGTTTGACTGGTGTACCTGAAAGTGACCGGGAGAATGGAACCAAGTTGGAAAACACTCTTCAGGATATTATCCAGGACGACATCCCCAACCTAGCAAGACAGGCTAATATTCAAATTAAGGAAATACAGAGAACACCACAAAGATACTCCTCCAGCAGAGCAACCCCAAGACACATAATCGTCATATTCACCAAGGTTGAAATGAAGGAAAAAAAATGTTAAGGGCAGCCAGAGAGAAAGGTCGGGCTACCCACAAAGGGAAGCCCATCAGACTAACAGAGGATCTCTCTGCAGAAACCTTACAAGCCAAAATAGAGTGGGGGCCAATATTCAACATTCTTAAAAAAAAGAATTTTCAACCCCTTCATATTCAACCAAACTAAGTTTCATAAGCAAAGGAGACATAAAATCCTTTACAGACAAGCAAATGCTGAGAAATTTTGTCACCACCAGGCCTGCCTTACAAGAGCTCCTGAAGGAAGCACTAAACATGGAAAGAAACAACCAATATCAGCCACTGCAAAAACATGCCAAATTGTAAAGACCATCGACACTATAAAGAAACAGCATCAACTTTCAGGCAAAATAACCAGCTAGCATCATATGACAGGATCAAATTCACACATAACAATACTAACCTTAAATGTAAACAGGCTGAATGCCCCAAGTAAAAGAAACAGAATGGCAAATTGGATAAAGACTCAAGACGCATCGGTGTGCTGTATTCAGGAGACCCGTCTCACATGCAAAGACACACATAGGCTCAAAATAAAGGGATGGAGGAATATTTACCAAGCAAAAGGAAAGCAGAAAAAAAAGCAGGGGTTGCAATCCTAGTCTCTGATAAAACAGACTTTAAATCAACAAAGATCAAAAGAGACAAAAAAGGGCATTACATAATGGTTAAGGGATCAATGCAATAAGAATAGCTAACTATCCTAAATATATATACACCAAATACAGGAGCACCCACATTTATAAAGCAAGTTCTTAGAGAACTACAAAGAGACTTAGACTCCCACACAATAATAGTGGGAAGTTTTAACAGCCTGCTGTCAATATTAGACAGATAAATGAGACAGAAAATTAACAAAGATATTTAGGACTTGAACTCAGCTCTGGACCAAGTGGACCTAACAGACATCTACAGAATTCTCCACCCCAAATCAACAGAATATACATTCTTCTCAGCACCTCATCACACTTATTCTAAAAGTGATTACATAATTGGAAGCAAAACACTACTCAGAAAATGCAAAAGAATAGAAATCATACAGTCTCTCAGACCACAGTGCAATCAAATTAGAACTCAGGATTAAGAAACTGACACAAAACCTCACAACTACTTGGAAACTGAACAACCTGCTCCTGAATGAGTACTGGGTAAATAACAAAATTAAGGCAGAAATAAAGATGTTCTTTGAAAACAATGAGAACAAAGGCACAATGTACCAGAATCTCTGGAACACATTGAAAGCAGTGTGTAGAGGGAAATTAATAGCACTAACTGCCCACAAGAGGACTCAGGAAAGATCTAAAATTGACACCCTAATATCACAATTAAAAGTACTAGAGAAGCAAGAGCAAACAAATTCAAAAGTTAGCAGAAGACAAGAAATAATTAAGATCAGAGCAGAACTGAAGGATATAGAGACATGAAAAACACTTCAAAAAAATCAATGAATCCAGGATCTGATTTTTTGAAAAGATCAACAAAATAGATAGAACACTAGCCAGACTAAAAAGAAGAAAAGAGAAGAATCAAACAGACACAATAAAAAATGATAAAGAGGAGATCACCACTGATCCCACAGAAATGCAAAATACCATCAGAGATTACCATAAATACCTCTAAGCAAATAAACTAGAAAATCTAGAAGAAATGGATAAATTCCTGGACACATACACCCTCCCAAGACTAAACCAGGAAGAAGTTTAATCCCTAAATAGACCAATAACAAGTTCTGAAATTGAGGCAGTAATTAATAGCCTACCAACCAAAAAAATTCCAGGACCAAACAGATTCACAGCCGAATTCTACCAGAGGTACAAAGAGGTACAAAGCTAGTACCATTCTTTCTGAAAATATTCCAAACAATAGGAAAAGAGGGACTCCTCCCTAACTCATTTTATGAGGCCAGCATCATCCTGAGACCAAAACCTGACAGAGAAACACACACATACACACACACACACACACACACACACACACACACATTCAGCCAATATCCCTGATGAACATTGATGCGAAAATCCTCAACAAAATACTGGCAAACCGAATGCAGCAGCACATCAAAAAGCTTATCCACCACGATCAAGTTGGCTTCATCCCTGGGACGCAAGGTTGGTTCAACATACAGAAATCAATAAACACAATCCATCACATAAACGGAACCAATGACAAAAACCACATGATTGTCTTAATAGATGCAGAAAAGGCCTTTGATAAAATTCAACACCCCTTCATACTAAAAACTCTCAATAAACTAGGTATTGATGGAACGTATCTCAAAATAATAAGACAGATTTATGACAAAACCACAGCCAATATCATACTGAATGGGCAAAAGCTGGAAGCATTAGCTTTGAAAACTGGCACAAGACAAGGATGCCCTCTCTCACCACTCCTATTCAACCTAGTATTTAAAGTTCTGGCCAGGGCAATCAGGCAAGAGAAAGAAAGAAAGGGTACTCAAATAGGAAAAGAGGAAGTCAAACTGTCTCTGTTTGCAGATGAAATAATTGTATAAGTAGGAAACCCCACCATCTCAGCCCAAAATCTCCTTAAGTTGGTAAGCAACTTCAGCAAAGTCTCAGGATACAAAATCAATGTGCAAAAATCACATGCATTCCTATATGCCAATAACAAACAGAGAGCCAAATCATGAGTGAACTCCCATTCACAATTGCTGCAAAGAGAATAAAATACCCAGAAATACAACTTACAATGGATGTGAAGGATCTCTTCAAGGAGAACTACAAACCACTGCCGAAGGAAATAAGAGAGGATACAAATAAATTGAAAAACATTCCATGATCATGGATAGGAAGACTCAATATTGTGAAAATGGCCATATTGCCCAAGGCAATTTATATATTCAATGCTATCCCCATCAAACTACCATTGACTTTCTTCACAGAATTGGAAAAAACTACTTTAAACTTCATATGGAACCAAAAAAGAGCCTGCATAGCCCAGACAATCCTAAGCAAAAAGAACAAAGTTGTAGGCATCATGCTACCTGACTTCAAACTATATCACAAGCCTACAGTAAACAAAACAGCATAGTAGTGGTACCAAAACAAATATATAGACCAATGGAACAGAACAGAGGCCTCATAAATAACACCACACATCTACAACCATCTGATTTTTGATAGAAACCTAACAAAACAAGCAATGGGGAAAGGATTTCCTATTTAATAAATGGTGTTGGGAAAACTGGCTAGCATATGCAGAAAACTGAAACTGGACCCCTCCCTTACACATTATACAAAAATTAACTCAAGATGGATTAAAGACTTAAACATAAGACGTAAAACCATAAAAAACCTAGAAGAAAGCCTCGGTAATACCATTCAGGACATAGGCATGGGAAAAGATGTCATGACTAAAACACAAAAACCAATGGCAACAAAAGCCAAAATTGATAAATGGGATCTAATTAAACTAAACAGCTTCTAGGCAGCAAAAGAAGTTATCATCAGAGTAAACAGTCAACCTATAGAATGGGAGAAAATGTTTGCAAGCTACCCATATGACAAAGGGCTAATACCAAGAATCTACAAGGAACATAAACAAACTTACAAGAAAAAAACAGACAACCCCATAAAAAGTGTGTGAAGGATTTGAACAGACACTTTTCAAAAGAAGACATTTATGCAGCCAACAGACATATGAAAAAAAGCTCATCATCACTGATCATTAGAGAAATCCAAATCAAAACCACAATGAGATACCATCTCACACCGGTTAGAATGGAGATCATTAAAAAGTCAGGAAACAACAGATGCTGAAGAGGATGTGGAGAAATAAGAACACTTTTACACTGTTGGTGGGAGTGTAAATTAGTTCAACCATTGTGGAGGATAGTCTAGCAATTCCTCAAGGATCTAGAACTAGAAATACCATTTGACCCAGCAATTCCATTACTGGGTATATACCCAAAGGATTATAAATCATTCTACTATAAAGACACATGCACATGCATATTTACTGCGGCACTATTCACAATAGAAAAGACTTGGAACCAACCCAAATGCCCATCAATGATGGGCTGGATAAAGAAAATGTGGCACATATACACCATGGAATACTGTGCAGCCATAAAAAAGGGTGAGCTCATGTCATTTGCAGGGACATGGATGAAGCTGGAAACAACCATTCTCAGCAAACTAACACAAGAACAGAAAACCAAACACTGCATGTTCTCACTCATAAGTGGGAGCTGAACAATGAGAACACATGGACACAGGGAGGGGAACATCACACACCGGGGCCTGTCAGGGGATGGAGGGCTAGGGGAGAAACAACACTAGGAGAAATAACTAATGTAGATGACGGGTTGATGGGTGCAGCAAACCACCATGGCGCGAGTATACCTATGTAACAAAACTGCACTTTCTGCACATGTACCCCAGAACTTAAACTATAATAAAAAGTAAAAAATAAAAATAAATAAAACTCTGATCTGTAGGCCAAAGGGTATTTCTTTTTCTTTATTAATTACTCAGAAGTCTAAGCCACAGCAATCCTACTGTTCTCCTCTCATTTTCCTAAACTATTTTGATACTTATTTCTCAGCCTTTACAGGCTATTAGATATTTCTCACATTTCCATAGATAATAACTCATAAGTTTTGCAACCTGATTCTCAATATTAAGACATTAAAACTAATGTATGAGACTCTCAGTTGACACATACTGAGGTATAGAAAAATTCCATCATTTCCTTCTGCAAAATGAAAAAGATTTTAATTTGTTTTCTCAACAGCTGCATCATTTTTTTATGCATAGAAAAAAATGTGCAATTACTCCAAGTACAATCAAGTCATTTAACATGGCTTTACCATCATTGTAGTTACAGGATATTTTAAAAGAGAAAAAAAAAATCTCAAAGCACAGGTCCTGCTGTGCAGCAAAGCAGTCAAATTCCTTTATAATAACAGCCTGATGGGATTCAGCAATCTGAGGAATAATGAATAACCACTCTAATCAGTAAACAGGAAGACGCTACAACAGTCACTGAGTGAAAACTGACTATCATCTGTTGATTCTCTTGATCGGCATTTCAAACAATAAATTGAAATGTAAGTATCTCTTAAAAAGAAAAACAACTTTGTTTAGTGTGCTTAATTTTACCAGGCAGTGAGGAAATTACATATCACCTTGATTGTCTTTCAGTGTGGCCCAGTCAATAAAATGCACAAATAATCTTTTTTATAATACATGGCCAACTTTATCCTATCACTTGAATACGTCAGGATAAACTGATTGTGGAGTTGGTTGATAACATTGTACCTTGGAACTGACTATTTGAATTTGTTTTGCTACTTTATTATTTGATATTCTTCTCCAGTGTTCATCTTATAAAGTTATTTGCATCTGAATATGAAGAGTCTGTTTCAAAATAGTCCTCAAGTTTCCAATGCAGTGTCTCAAATGTAGGTCGTTCCTTAGGCTCTGCATTCCAGCACTCCAACATGATATTGTAAAATTGCTGTGGACAATTGGATGGTTGGGGAAGTCTATAGTTTTGAGCCAACATCTGGATTACCTGGGCACCTGTCATACCTAGAAAATACAGAACGGAAACAATAACAACAACAACAACAAAAAACAAAGTTGAAGCTCAGAGTCTTAAACTTATAGCCATTTATACTGTAGGTTACTAAGTAAGTCAATTTCCTTGGCAAAGCTTTGAGGTCTACCATCCCCTTCCCAGGTTACACGGATTAAACTAAGTCCTGCAGCAAGTGATGTCTATAAGACTGCAATTCACTAGCAAAGGAGAGGGAAGTAATAAACCACCTCATTAATGCAAATTATCATCATCAAATTTTATCTATCAAGCTCCCGCAGGTACTTGGTATGGTCAGCCTCATAACTCTGCCCTCTAAGTCTGGGAGAAGCAGTTAAAGTCACACCTAAGTAAGTGACCTGCAGCAAAAAGGTCCACTTCAGAATTAATTACTCACCACTGTAAGGCATTTTGCCATAAGTAATGATTTCATAAAGAAGGATTCCAAATGACCACACATCGGACTTAATGCTGAATTTATTAGTACGAATGGCTTCGGGCGCAGTCCACTTCACCGGCAGCTTTATTTCGTGTTTAGATTCATAGATGTCTTCATTATCTACCTGTTAATGCATTAAGGAATCCAGGCCAAGTTAAAGTAATTTTTTTTTGCTACCCTCATTCATCTATAATCTGCTTCACATCAAAATTTAGAGAAAAAAGATTCAAAATGAGCTTAGTTCTATTGACAATTACATTAGCAAATTCTGAATCTGGTATACAAGACTGAAAAATATGTGGGAAGTCATTAATAAAATATTATTTAAGAGCCTACTGGCCGGGCGCGGTGGCTCAAGCCTGTAATCCCAGCACTTTGGGAGGCCGAGACGGGCGGATCACGAGGTCAGGAGATCCAGACCATCCTGGCTAACATGGTGAGACCCCGTCTCTACTAAAAAAATTAAAAAAAATAAAAATAAAAAAAAACTAGCCGGGCGA